CACACACACACACACACACACACACACACACACACACATACACACACACACAAACACACACTGTCAGTTTTCAATCGGTGCTTTGGGAATTTGCCCTCAAGGCCCTGCTGTCAAAACGTCCTTGAGCCCCACACTGTCCTGATACGCTTGTTGGTGTATGAGTGAGAATAAAAATGTTGCAAATAGTGCTTTATATAAAATATTTTACTCTATGTAGGCGTGTGGATAAATAAATAATAAATAMATTTGTTCATTGCAATTGACCCATCACACACAAGATACACCCAAGTAGAGCAGTAAGCGCCAGGGGAGCAGTTGGGGATTAAGTGTCTTGCTCAAGGACACCACGACATTTGTGCATGACATGGAGTCAAACCTGCAACTTTTTCCCATGTCAGCTGCCCTACCATTGCACCACAGCCACCACGGCTCAGTGGCATGTTGTTTATGTTTGACAGATTAAATGATGTTTGGCAGCACTGTGGCTTAGTGGTTAGCACTGATGCCTYACAGCAAAAAGGTTCTGGGTTCGATTCCTAGTTTGGACCAGTGGTCTTTCTATGGGGAGTTTCTGTTTGCATGAGTTTCCTCCACAGTTTAAAAATCCCCAGGCCCAGACCTCCCTTATAAAAGAGATCTGTGATGCCAGTGGGATTTTCCTGGTTAAATAAAGGTTAATGAATAAATATTTACTTGTATTGTTTTTCTCACTTGGGATTACATGAGCAGAATTTGAATTCCTACACAGCCTTAAAAAATTACTGTAAAACATTTGTATTTTTCAGGTCTGAATAATGCAAGAAAAAAATAGCTTCCAGACTAAATTCTGTTTTTCAAACATTCAGATTGAAAATTTAAGAAAACAAATAAAAAGGCAGAGTCTAAACATCAGTTTTCTTTATGCACTTTTTTTCCCCATCTCCAGCAGTCACTATAGAGAGACCGGACTCATCCTGGTCAACTCTAAAGTCCATCACCAGGACACAAAGAGACAAATGTAAAAATCCTGTAAWAAGTCCAGAGGAAACTTAAAAATACAGTATATATCTTAGATGTGATCATACTGTACCAATCATGTTAAAGAGTGAAAAAGGAAAATTAGTAAATGATTAAACTCCAAAAGTTTTAACAAATTTAAAGCCACAGTTTGCTTCCTGGTTTGCTTCTGGAGCACTTTTCTATAATCTGTTGAAACAATAAGAACCTACAGCCATCCACTTGTTAGTTTAGCACAGAAAATCCCAACAATGAACTTGTTCTCTTTCTAAAATAATACATTTCACCTTATTTGCTTTTATTTCAACTGTATCGATGTAACAGAACAAGAATTGTCGTCATGCAGCTCAGAASTTTCTCTTCAGATTTGTTATAACATCACTCTTGGAGAACTCAACATTGTAGGAAATCATGTTTTTTTTAGAATGCAAAGAAAATCTATAGCTGCTTTAAAAATAGTGTGAAAGTATCAAACAGCTTAAAATCTGATGGTATACACAGAAACTGTGCYTCAAAACAAAATCGAGTGACTTTTATGGGGTTACATCAGAAACTATACAGTTAGCACCATCAGTCATGCCGCCTGCTTCTGTTTTTTTTTTTTTTTTCTCTTTTGTGGGTTATTTATGGCACAGACAGAAAATATGCAGTAGCTCCATTCATTTAAAGACAGGAAAAATGTTTTCCAAAGGAGAAAAAAAACTAGCATGCGAGGGGTGTTACGTRTATAAAAACTACAAATCTTATGGATAAAAACAATCATCGTTACATTTTGAAAGCTGCACTTATTTCAAATGATTTTGAAATTGCAGTTTGAGGTGTATAATTGGAGCGTGATGGGTGGCACAGACTGAGGTGGCTGGGTTCAGGGGATCCAGGACAAGCTGTGCTTTCCTGTACTCTGAGGTGTCAGAGGACCAGTAGCTGCCAGGAATGGAGAACATCCCACCCCACAAACCACACAACAAGGTCGGGAGCGTGCCAATGCAAATTCTGTCTGTGCTGCTGGGAAATATGCTGCTGAAGCGTGCCAGAGTGAAGGACTTCTTTTACATCATGTTCTGTTTATCCTAGAGGAAATGACTTCAAATATCTTTATGTTTGATCAAACCACTGTAACACAACACTGCGCACCACTTCCACACACATTTTTATTATTATGAATGAGTCAGCATTTACATTATTGTTTTCTGTTTGTAGTTTCTTCCATCCTTGTTTGGATTCATATTGCTTATAAGCTTGGCTGGATTAGGATTAGGTTTAGTGTGCACTGACTTTTGTGTTTTGAAACTTTACTGTTCAGAAAAACTAACTTTATTTTTTCCATGTTGAAAATCATTGAGATCAGTTCTTATAAAAACTTTGTATCTTTTAATCAGTTATGCTACTTTTAGGTTTTAGCTATTATTTTGCTAGTTTTAGTTTTTTTACTTCTGTACTGCTACATTTAACCTTTAACTACAGTTTTGATATGTTTAGCTACTGTTCTGTTATATTAACTGCAGTTTTGCTACTTTTAGCATCTGTTCTGCTACATTAGACTTTTAGCTACCATTTTACTAGTTTTAGGTTTTTACTTCTGTACTTCTGCATTTAAAATGTAGCTGCAGTTTTGACACATTTAGCAACTGTTCTGCTACATTTAGCTGCAGTTTTGCTATGTTTAGCTTCTGTTCTACATTTAGCTTTAAGCTACTATTTTGATATTTTGAGTTTTTAGCTGCAGTTTTGCTACAGTTAACATTTAGGTACAGTTTTGCTACTTTTAGCAACCATTCTGCTAATGTTAGCTTTTTAGCTACAGTTACTGCTACTTTTAGCTTTTAGATTAATGGTTGGATGAACTGATAAAACGATGAATTAATTGCAAAGAGCAGCTTGGAGTCACAGCTGCATCCAGGTACAAAGGAGGAACAAAGTAGCTATAAGGAAGAAAATGTAAGAAAAAAATTATATTCAAAACAGCTGTGGCCATATAATAGTAAGTTATGCAGTGCGTTTAGCCGCGTTTAGCTTTTAATAGTACTTAACTGCAGCTTTTAGACACTATTATGCAAATTTCATAATTAAAATGTGGTTTTAGTCATTAAAATTTTTAACTAGGGTTTTGCTATTTTAGCTTTTAGCTACTGTTTTGTTCACTTTACTTCTGTTTAGCTTGTTTAACTTTACAACTCAGTTTTAGCTATTTCAGTGAAGTCATCCAGCACTCAGTATTTTCGTTGATTTTTCACACAACACACCATTTGTTTCTGGTTTATATGTTGAATTATCAAATCTTCAGACCCCACCCCCACACCTGAAGGAAATACTTCATGTTACCTGTAGTCTATGACTAACATGCTAATCTGTAATGAACCCTAACAGAAAACCATAGCCATGTCCTGAAGAACAAAATCGTTCTACTCAAGGTTTATTTCTCCACCTGAGACTTTAATCTCTGTGTTTTACTCTGAAGTTAAGGAGAGGGTTAAATACATTTCTGATTTAATAAAGAGCCAAGTATTAAAAGCGAGGGCCATTAATAAATCTTGTTTTGCTTTAGGGATGTTAAAAATGCTAATTGTTTCAGAAGAGGCTGTTTATCTAGAAATCTCTTCACTCTTTCATCAGTGTGTTAATCACATGTTCGTGCTCTGTTACAGATTTCTCTGAATATGAATCAGCTTTGACTGATGCTGAGGATTGGGAGTGATTTTTAATCATCTCTCCTGAGCAAAGTGCCTCTTTTACTTTTTTATTTTCCCCTTAAGTCAAACGGTGGGAGCTGAAATTAGTGGAAACTATTATTTAAACCGCA